CGGCTGCCCGGTGTGCGTGTGGCGGCAGCACAGCCGCGAGCTGCGCCTGGAGAGCATCAAGTCGCAGATCCTGAGCAAACTGCGGCTCAAGGAGGCGCCCAACATCAGCCGCGAGGTGGTGAAGCAGCTGCTGCCCAAGGCGCCGCCGCTGCAGCAGATCCTGGACCTGCACGACTTCCAGGGCGACGCGCTGCAGCCCGAGGACTTCCTGGAGGAGGACGAGTACCACGCCACCACCGAGACCGTCATTAGCATGGCCCAAGAGAGTAAGCGGGTGCGGGGTGCGAGCGGCGGGTGCTGGCGCCGGCCCCGGGGAAGGCGAGCGCCTCCCGCGCGGTAGCGGAGCGCTCCTGGTCGCCGGGACCGACCGGAGCCTTTTCCGCGAAAACTTGACGGGCTGGGGGCGGGAGCTGCGCCCCAGAAGTTTTTCGAGCGGTGGAAAGGGGGCTGCGGAGTTGTGTGCACACTGGTTCCCGGAGGTGGGGGGCGCGGCAATGCGGGTGGGTTTTGAGTTGCTGACTCTCGCCCCCTAAAGTGCGCCAAAAGACCCTGCTGGAGGGAGTCGGCGAAAGCAGGGGCCCGCAGTGGAGGGGACGCACCGGTGACTTTGTTCCGAAGGGAGGTGGCAGGGAGGCTGGAGAAGGGAATCGGGAGGTTCCGGGACGCCCGCAGTCCCGGGTCAGGCTGCAGTGCTCTCTGCCGGGGTACGGCGGCCTTGGCACCAACTTCCCCCCTCCACCCGAAGCTCCGCAGCGCGCCCACCGGGCTGCGGAAACCCGAGGGCCCCTCTCCCTCTACCAAGAATAGGGTGCCAGAGCCCTGATCGCCACCAGCAGCGCGACTAGCAGCCTCTGCACACCGAATCCCACCTCAAAACCCAGTTTCCCCAAAGGGCCGGGAAAGCTGTGCCTCCTAGGTGCTGAGCTGGAGCTCGGGGACCGAACTCCATTGCACTGGGAGCTAAGCACCCTCTGGCTGCTCAGACTATCGGGATTCCGCCTCATTCACCTGCCCCTCCCACAACCGGACTTGAGGGAGAAGACCTGGGGAGAAACAGGAGAAAAAAACACACACACCAGGTTGGGGTTGGGGGAGGAAACCCCGGCATCCAGTCCCTGGCCAAATGGAAGATGAACATGTTAATAGACTTGAGCTGCTTTGAAATTTTATGGCCTGGAAAATCCAGGCCAATACTCCATCACGACCACCTCCCCTCCCGACCCCCAGCTTTCCCGAGGGTCAGCTGACTCCCTCGTCCCCTCCCCCACTGAGGTGGGGGGGGGGGCAACTGCAAGGTCCCAGGCCCCCTCTTCTTTCTTCCTTAGTGGTTCAGCACAGCCTGCTGCGAGTCCACACACACACACACACACACACACACACACACACGTTGGTTTTATGGCTCTAAAGAGAAGTAGGGGGGGGGATGGACTTTATTGGCAAATGGGTCATAAAAAGCTGGGGGCTGAGGGGAATCTTATTGGCCCACCCTCCATGGGAGAGGCACTGGATCCCAGGTGTGCATCTGGGAGTGTGAGCGCTTCTACAAGCTAACAGTCTTATTTCTGCTGACCACAATTGCACGGGGCTATCGGGAAAACTCAGACGGCTAGTAGACTAACTGGGGTTTCCAGGGAAGGCGTGGGGCTCCCTTCTTGGGTTCCTGGGTCTCCCTTCTGCTTCAGATGCTTCTGTGTACGGAAGCAAGGGTCAGTCAGAGAGCAAGCTAGGGCAGGACGGGTGGTGGCAGTTATTCTAGGAAACAAGAGTTGTCGAGGAATTCGGAAGAGTTTTCTGGACACAGATGACGGCTGGAGAAGGACCAGACATTCTGGGGTGTGTGTGTGTGTGTGTTTCCCAGATGGGTAAATGGGTAATGGGACTGGGGACCCCCATCTTGTCCCTCTCTCCCAAGCATCCCCTGAAGCTAAGGGCTTGAGCGCAGTTAGTTCTGCCAACAGGAATGCAGGAAGTAAACGGATCCTGCAGGCATGGATTGGGCAGTGCCGGGATGTGGTGGTGGTGGTGGGGCATCAGCAGAAAGCGTCCTACCCCAACTGCCACTTCGCGATGTGGGTTACTAAGGAACTGGGTCTCTAGCCAGGTATTGTACGTCCCCTTTAAGAGTCGGTCGGATCTCTTCAGAGAGGGAGGGGGAGCGGAGCGGAGGGGAGGGAGAGAGGGGAAAAGGAAAAAGAGACTTTTATAGTCTAATCCCCAGGGACCCGCTTTAATAAGAGACTTGTGCTCTGCTAATCGGGGGAGGTGTTCTTCAGCAGAGATGGCCTCCATTCCCCTCCTCCTCCCTCCCCTCCCCCAGTCCTCAACCCTGGACCCCTGCCCCCACCCCTCCTAGGCTGCGTGCCTGCCCTAGTTCTCTCCACCCTCCCGAGCTCTCCCAACCCAGCCTTCATCCTGGGAAACCAGCCCCCTGCCCTCCTGAGAACCAAGCCCAGCCTCTTAGTATCTCCCTGACCCCCCCATGCCTAGAGGCCCCTACCCTCTCAGCCCCTAGGCCCTCCAGACTGGCTTGGGAGAGTGTTTGTTGGGGAGGGGTGGTGGTGGTCATAATAAGGAGGGGGTTGGGCTTTGGCTGAAAATAGTGTAATGACCTCTCTCCTGACCAGCACTGCCTACTAACCCTGACCTGCTGCCTGCCTCCACCAGGATCTATCCAACACAGATGTGGCCCCTTCCCCTCCCCACGGGGGCTGGGCCTCTGTGTGTATTGGGGACTCTCTCAAGCCCCAGTTGCCTCTGTGGCTCTACCTGCTTCTCCTTTGTTCCTCTCTCTGTATCCTTTCTGGCCTTTCTTTGGTTTACCCACCAGGCTTCCGCACCTCCCTCTTTAGCTTTCTAACCCCCCCCCCCACCTCCTTTGGCATCACCCTCTCTCCCAGTGCTCACCAACCACTTCTGCTTCCCCACCTTCCTGTTTCTCTTGCTGCTGTAACCTGCCTCCATCCCTCACAGCCTTTCCTCCTCCTGCCTCATCTCCCTCATCATCTCCAGCCTCCCCCCCACACCCCCTTTCTGTTTCCCTAGGTCCTGCTGGTCCCCTTGTAGCCATGGCTCCCCAGATCTATGGGAGCAGTGTGTGGGAAATTCCCCAGGGTGAGAATTGGGGTCTAAAGGAACCAAAGACTTAGAGGGACAGGGCCCTGATGCCCAGTCCCTAGCTTGGGTGGGGGATATGTTGAGAGCTTGTAAAAGAAGTGATGCCTTTCTTTGGAGAGTAGAGAAGGGGAAATCATAAACCAGTGTTCATTGAGAAGTTACTACTACGTTCAAATTCTTTATTTCATGTCCCCCACTCCTACGATCATTATCTGTGAGCCAGGTGGTGAATAAGGTCAGGTACTTGTTGATGACAAATCAGAGTAAACCACTTCGGTTGTAGCCAAAGCACAGTTAGAAGAACTTTCGGACATGTGGCGTGTACAACCTAAGACTGTGTGTGTGTGTGTGTGTGTGTTGGGGATTCTATTGGGCCAGTATTTACTGAGTGTTGCCAGGGGCTGTGGTGGTACAGTGGTTAAAGCACGCAGCTGCTAACTGAAATATCAGCAGGTTTGAACCCACCAGCCTCTCCACAGGAGAGCAAGGTGGCAGTCTTTTTCCTGAAATGTTTACATCTTTGGAAACGCTATGGGATGGTTCTGTCCTGTCGGCAGTGGGTTGGGGAGCTCTGGCTTGTCTGCCCGATAAAGACTTTCAGTCTCAAAACCGTCTGTGGAGCAGCTCTACCCTGTCCTGTAAGGTCGCTGTGAGTTGGAATCAACTTGACAGCAGTGGGCTCAAGTTTGGATGGGAGGCAGCAAGGCCAATGGTGAACACAATAGATGCCGTGTTAAAGGACACAGCCCTCAGAGAGTGGTACCCAATGGCAACCAAGTGAGGCGTGTGCCGTTCGGATGGTGGCTTGTTAGCCTCACTTTACCAGCTGCCCTGATCTCTGAATCTCCATCGTCCAAATCCTATCCCACTGTGTTATCACTGTAACTCCAGCCAGCCGTAGGGTAACTGGAAGGATTACCAGAGCCCTCAGGCTTCAAAGGAGGACCCCCAGGAAAAGGAAGCTGCAGCGTGATGTGGGCCCATCATGCCCTGAATATATGGAGGTCATTAAGCATGGTGCTCTCCATCCCACTAGGAAGGCCCACCCGGAGTGGTGAGGCTCCGGAGGAGCTTGCCGATGGGTGGCAACAGATGCTGAATACGCTCCAAGATGGGATGCACAAAAGCCTGGACTTTATGATCATTCCGAGACAGCCATGGAAGCTCATTCCTTAACCTGTTCTCTCAGCCTGTTTAGATGTCTAGAGTAAGAATATTCTTGTCCAAAAGAGACATGGTGTAGGGCCTCTCCAACCAATTTAAGAAATTTGAGGGGCACTGGGTAGAATTGGAAGCAGAGGCAGGTAGCCAGATCCACCAGTTAGTCCCTAGGAGAATCAATTAACGGTCCAGAATAAGGGGAGAAGGTGGGACGTTGAACATTTGTAACGCTTTGCTAGAACCAAAGGAAACCCTGGACTGGTTCTAGTGGGTCTGGTATGTTGAATGGTATTTCTGATGATCTGGGGCAAATAGGAGGAGGTAACACGGAGGCAGATTTTTCCTTCCTCAAAAGCTGAGGTGAAGTAACGGTGGTGGTGAGGAAGCAACTGAGGGACTTTGTTGTCAGGGGAGAGGGAGTGTGGAGTTCGCCACACAGGTACAGGAAGTGCTGGGTGTTATTGCTGGTGGAAGGAGGCAATATGCCTAAATGGGATTGCTGGCTTACTTCATGGGATAAATGTAGCTCATGCCCCCTTTCCAAGCCCCGGGTTACCACCTCTAAGATCACCTGTCATCGGGATCTGTGCCAGACTCTTGGCCCACCAGACCAAACAGCAGAGACCAGGCCAGGTTGCCTGAGGGTAGCAGGCATAAGAAGAGGTCTGACCGGCTTCTGTGAAGAACATCAAGGCTCAGAAACACATGACAGAAAAATCGGAAGCAGGGGACAATGCAGGTGGAAGTTACCTTTGCAGGTTATGTGGTTGAGGGGAACCTACCCATTAGGGAAAATGGATTAAGGAATGGGACAAATCAGTGAGGAAGGCCTGGGAGAGGCATCCTACGGAGAAAGATAGGAGGCATTGAGTTGGGCAGCAAAAACATGGTAGTCAGTAACCACTCAACACCAATGGCCTGCGAGTCAATACTGAGTGGAAGCCACTTTCTAAGTCAGGGTAGAACTGTTCCTGTGAGTTTCCCAGACAGCAACTGCTTCTGGGAGTAGGGACCCTCCTCTCTCTACCCTGGAGCAGCTGCTGATGCTGAACTGCTGATCTTGCAGTTAGCGGGCCAATGTGTAACCCACACGCCAGCCATAAGACCCAACCACACTCAATGCCATCCAGAAGCCTCCTCTTTCTCCGTGGGAGCGCCTGGTAGGTTCAAACAGCCCAACACAGCCAGCTATACCGCCAGGGCTCAGGAACTGGCTAAATCAGGAGTAATTGGAAACTCACACTGAGGAGTCCAATGGCCAGTGCCCCTGCCCTTGCTGCCCAGGACTGCTATCCCCTCTTCAAACCCCCCTTGCTGACCTGTGCCCCCTTCTCTCCCATCAGCGGACCCCGCCGTGCAGACAGACGGCAGTCCTCTCTGCTGCCATTTCCACTTCAGCCCCAAGGTGATGTTCACAAAAGTACTGAAGGCCCAGTTGTGGGTGTACCTAAGGCCTGTGCCCCGCCCCGCCACCGTCTACCTGCAGATCTTGCGACTGAAACCTCTGACTGGGGAAGGGACCGCGGGGGGCGGCGGGGGAGGCCGGCGGCACATCCGGATCCGCTCACTCAAGATCGAGCTGCACTCTCGCTCAGGCCACTGGCAGAGCATCGACTTCAAGCAGGTGCTACACAGCTGGTTCCGCCAGCCCCAGAGCAACTGGGGCATCGAGATCAACGCCTTCGATCCCAGTGGAACAGACCTGGCTGTCACCTCCCTGGGGCCAGGCGCTGAGGGGCTGGTGAGCTGAGGGGCTGGTTGGTAAACCTGGTCCCCAGGAGGTGGGATGTTGGAGGGAGACCAGGAACGTGTATGGGACTAGGGACCAGCATTATTTCTCTCTGGCCAGGAGCTGATTCTGGAAGAGGGGATGGGGAGGGGGCGGTAACAGCTATCACTTTTCAGGGATCTATGCCAGGCAACAGCTGAAAGCTGGATTCGGGGTGAGGGTGTGTTAATGGGAGATCCGTGGGAACACTACAGTTGGCTGTGGATGAGGCCCCGGGCCTAGGGGCCGATGCGAGTCAGGTTGCCAGTGGAGGAAGAATTAGGCAGAGGGAGTTGGAGAGATGACTGGCTGGCAAGACAGTGAACCCGGGTGAGATCAGTGGAAAAGCTGGGGAGGGGTCTGCCCGTGCAGGTGGCCCTGGAGAGGCAGGCGAGATAGGAGCAGGGAGCAGGAGCGGTTTGGGGGGGCTATGTCACAACTCTTTCTCCTCTTCGCCTCCCCCAGCATCCTTTCATGGAGCTGCGCGTGCTGGAGAACACAAAACGGTCCCGGCGGAACCTGGGCCTGGACTGCGATGAGCACTCCAGCGAGTCCCGCTGCTGTCGCTATCCCCTCACAGTGGACTTCGAGGCTTTCGGCTGGGACTGGATCATTGCACCCAAGCGCTACAAAGCCAACTACTGCTCGGGCCAGTGCGAGTACATGTTCATGCAAAAGTACCCCCACACTCACTTGGTGCAACAGGCCAATCCACGAGGGTCTGCGGGGCCCTGCTGTACTCCCACCAAGATGTCTCCGATCAACATGCTCTACTTCAATGACAAGCAGCAGATTATCTACGGCAAGATCCCTGGCATGGTGGTGGATCGCTGTGGCTGCTCATAAGGTGGGGGACAGAGGATGTTCCCCCACAGACCCCGCCCCTAGACCCCTAATCCTGACCCCCAAGCCCTCAGGCCCTAAAGCTCCCTCCACCTCTTCCCATGAACATCACACCTTGTTCCCTGCCCAAGCAGTGTGCAATAGGACCAAGGGAGGCAGGTGATGGGTGAGGAGCTTGGAGGAAGGGGAAGCGGGGGCCTGGTCAAGATAGGGGGTGTTTGCGGTTTGCAAGTAAGGTTTGGCAAGAAGACAGAGAGACATAGAGGCAGAGGGACAGTGACGGAGAGACAGAGAGCAGCAGTGAGAAGGCAAACGGATAGACAGAGACCGAGATGGACTTAAAATGAGAAAGCCCCCCACCAAGCCTCCTTTCTTCCACTGGCAAGGTGAGGGACTTGGTCTAGTTTGGGGAGATCCCCTGACTACATTCTCAGTAGGAGAGAAAATAAACAATCCACTCTTAGCTTCTTCCCTCTCTCCCTCCAACAGTGGTCAGGGCAAGAGAAGTGAGGGTGGGCGCAGACGTGAGGATCTGGAGATTTTATTTATTTATTTATTGTGACTTTTTTTCCCCTTTTCTTTTTTGGGTATTTGGCTTTACTGAAATAAGAGGGCACGTGCCCACTTGTGCCCTGTTTGTCCCTTATTCCCCACAACCTGCTCTCTTCTAATACCCACCCACTTAAGCACTTGTATAAAGCCTCCAGGGTTGGGAATGGGAGCAGAGGGCAAGAGGGCTGACACATGGACATTTCTAACCCATAATCACCCTACCCGATCTTCCTGAGCCAAAGGGGTTGAACTGAAGCCAGCAGTCTTGGAAACAGTAAAATGTTATGGGTTAGGAGCGCAGGGGGGGCGCCCACACTATATAGGATCAATATAACCAGAGTCACTAAACTAACCCTCAGGTTCGCCCTCAAAACTAAGTTACTTAGCCAGAGGGTACAGCCTAGTTATGCCCAAATCCTGCCCCCGCGCCCCAGCCAAGAGAGACCAAAGAGCCTGTGGAATGACCCTACTCCCAGCTTCTATCTTCAGGTCAATAAGAAGGAAAGAGAGTGTAGAGATGCCAGAGTTCCCCGGGTCTCGGAAGGGTTAGGAAGTGTCAAGGAATTAGTGTGAAGGCTGAAAGTTATAGGGCATTTGACTCCAAATCACTGCTCTGGGCTAGGGAAGAGAGCCGACGGACCAAGGGGGAGGGGGAGGGATTACTGGAGAGGGGGGGTGGCATTTAGTCCAACCCCAAAGCTCAGGGTGGAAGGAGAACAAGGAACCAGAATGTCTATAATTAATTTTATCTTTTATTTTTGGAATCTAGCAGTACCTGACAGCAGGGCAGGGACCATTAGAACAGAGGGTGGAAAGGATGGGGACCTCCTGGCTCGGAGGGCTAGGAAGCAGGCAGAGACTGGGTGCCGTTCTAAGTTATTAGCTGGGTCTATTCATTTCTCCCACAATAATCTCCTGACCCATTCTCCCTGGACTCACTGTGCCTCAGTTTCTTCCCCTCGATGGAATGAGAAATAGCAGCACCCACCACAGCAAAGAGATGAATTCTGAGCACTTACCACGGGCACTTTATGGACATAAAATACCTCTCGCTGTGGGACAGATAACCAGGGCACCTGAGTAGTGGTGAAGAGATATGAGGCTTAGAAGAGTCACAGGCTTCCTAGTACCAATTCTCCACTGCCTCCCAGCTGGACAGTGCCTGAAGCCAAGGAGTTGAGCAAGGTCTCCTGATCCACACCCTATCCTTACCTCAGCACCAGATTTCTCAGCTCTTTGCAAGAGGCTAGAGGATGTCAGGAAAGGAGGGGGAAAGACCTTTCAGCAAAATTGTTACTCACTCTAAGTAAAACCAGCCGTTGTGGGTCTGAGACAAACCATGCTGAACTGAAGTAAAGCCCGAGTCACAGAGCTCACCTGGAAGGCTTGGTCTTCTGTCTGGCCAACAGGTGGAAGGGAAAAGGTATGTGGCTACCCTTGGGACAGTGATGTTGAGTTTTAGCATCGTATGTATTTCCATTCCCTTAGTGGAATAAGGTGTTGAGGGAAGAGGAAAGGGCAGGGGCCGTTAAGCTTTTCAGCTTGCCTCCTCACAGTCAGCAGTGATGCGAAACCCCAGCCTCTCCTCTGGCTGTTCTTCACCCGTTTCTGCCCCCCCCGTTTGGAGGACAAGACACACCATTCCCATTTCCTCGGTGGGAGGAGAGGAACACTGAACTCAAGAACGTGATGCCTCCACACGGTCATGTGCCCATGTCTCTTGATCTTGGCACCGGGTGGGGGGCTGGGCAATAGTCATCAGGTGATCTCTCTCTACAGAGTCTAGAACTAGGGCGATTAAATGTAGGGGACACTTAGACTATGTCCCTTCAGTGCCACCAAATAAAAGACCTTTGGGGGAGGGTCTTTCTCTTGTGAACCTATTGAGTTGAAGTCAGCCCCGTTCCTTTATATCCCCAAAGAGGCATGGGGCACAGCCGTGACCCAGCGGGAACTAGCACCCCCTCCCACTTTATGATGTGTGTGGACTTGGGCAGTGCCCCTCCGAACATACCATCATTAGTGTAATTATTATTTGTGTACTTGTCACACTGTGTGTGTGACTGCCTTTGTTTGTTAAGGGTGTCTGAGGAGTCTGGGGCTGACAGGGGCGCTGGAATGCCGGGAAATGACTTCTTCACTGAGATGGGGGCTTCCTGGAGGGAGCCATTGCAAACGGGCCATCGGGCGGTTTTCAAGTTATGTGACAGAGGGCAAAGATGGCCACAGGGTGCTCTGTGTTTGGGGATGGTCACATGACACAATCCAGCACTTGAACCTGAAAAAAATGAAAAATAAAAGCAGTCAAAGAGTTTAGAATCCAGTGCCAAGGGCGTCTTCCTTGCCAAGGGTTGTAAAAACGGAAGTGAAGAAAACCTGAAGGTGGATGAAATCCTGAGCTTGGGGACTAAGACGATGAAGTCCCCAGAGCACAGAGAAAAGGGCAGGTGGGATGAAGGTCTGGGGCGCATAGGCCAAGGGCAAAGGATGAGAAAGCAGGGGTCTCTAGAGCTACTGTTCCGGAGAGCTTGGTCACAAATAGTCCCAAAGATCATGGAACCCCTCTCCCAGCTGCTACAGAGTGGAAAACCTATGAGTTCTCACGAGATGATCCAGCTCTCGTCTCTCTTATCCTGCTGTGCTGGATTGGAGATTTCCTCAACAAAAACTCACCGAAGTTCAGAAATTCAACCAACATAGCCATTCTTGCCACTGTACTAAATGTGTTTTAGCCTCTTCTTGATGCCACTGTATGGCATTTCTCCAATGTGCCTAGAGTGCAAAATGTACAGAGCCCAAGTTTTGGGAGTGGCAAAGGAATCTTGGTTGACACACAATGAAAACAAAAACACTTTAATGAAATTACCTTGATCCAGAATGGGGGACATGTGCTACCATGCCTCCCTGTCAATTCTGTCAGCAGACTGGCTGCAAGACTGAGACTAGGGCACAGCAAGAGAAGACGAAGTATTACTGTCTTTCCAAGTTCAATCTCCCAGATTTTGGCTTGAGCCAAAACTGGTTTGTTCTCTTATTGCTCTCTTGTTCCCCACTGGGGATGAGGATACCCCGAAAAAGACTACAAGGTTGTCTCTTCTTCATCCCCTAAAACCTCCCACCCAATGCATGTTTACTGTCCTATACTTTGTCTACTCTTTTAAGGTCAGGGGCCCCAAAGGAGGAACCTGCAAACATGGCGTTCATAGCTGTGGTCGGTAATGGGGAAGATGTAGGCAAGTCAATGACCATGGCCTAGAATCAGAGTGAGGGGGCTTCCTCCTCTTCCCAAGCCCCCAACTGCATCTGTGTACGTGCACGCACACGCTCAAACTAGTTCACTCTCCAAGTACCTACTGGGGTGGGGGGAGGAGAAACTCAGTTCTCCTAGCTGTCTAAGAAAATTAGGAGTTAATACCTTTTGAATATCTATCATGTAAACTCTGGTAGGCACATAGTCCTGAGTACGTAAGATAATTGTCACTTAATTCTCCCAGCAACCTTTACAGACTTCCTACTGGTACCATCTGTAGAGTCAAAAGTGACTAATTTGCCCAGTCTCAGAGTTAGTGTGGTGGAACTAGGGATTCCACCTAAGTAGTTGCTGCACAGTATCACATTCTAATCGATGAATAGCGACCTGAGGTAGGAAAGCTAAGAACATAGACAGGGTAGCTGTCGGAGAACCAAGGAGCCTGTTGGGAGTGCCTGGGTCCCCAAGGTTGTGAAACCTGTTACTTTCAAACCCTTTGGCAGGGAAATAAGAAGGTTCCAGACATGTAGTGAGAGGGAGGTTGTTTTGGGGGAGAACGTCAGTAACCAGGCTGACACTGTCCATCAGACATCATGCAGGAAAACAGGGGAAAGTGTTTACTTTCCCTTAGATGTGTAACTTCCATCCTTTGCTCCCATTGTTTCTTGTGCTGGGCATGGCACTAGGCTCAGTTTAGCACCGAACAGTCCTATCCTTACACCTTCCTTCCTCTAGCCTTCATCTCCCACACACAGCTAGCATTCCACGGCCAGCAGTTCCCAGGCTTGGGAACAGTAGGGACTGTGAAAGAGTGGTAGAAAAGAGAAGGATCCTAGAGAACCACAGAAAAGCACAGATTCACAGTGGAGGTAGCTAGCTCCCTCCACAGCTTTTGTAGACTCATTAAGAGCTTTGAAACAGCAAAAAGAAGACTAGTTAGCTACCGGCACCTGGATCTTAGCTTATACCAGGGAGCCAGGCTGGAAAGCTCCTTGGATTCTAGATAAGGAATTATGAGCTTGGATACCTATTGACTCTAAGACGACCTACTATTTTAAGATGGAATTGATCATAGGTATCCTCAACCATACATGTTCGAAAAGAATTTGACAGCAATAGGAAGATATGGTTGCCAGGGTTGGAGGCTAGAGAACTCTAATATTTGACTAGTTGCTAGAATGGGATGAAAATGCTAGTTTGAAAGTCCTGCATTGGGAAACACTATAAAGAAATGGGAGTGGGGGGATGAGTTGGATAATACTTAAAATATATTTTTGGAAGATGTAGAAGATACTCTGAGTCCTAGTAGCACAGTGAGTTATAGATTGGGCTGCTGCTAGCCTTAAGGTTAGTAGTTCAAAAACACCAGCTGCTCCACAGGAAAAAGATGAGGCTTTCTGCTCCCATAGAATTTCAGTCTTAGCAACCCACAAGAGCATTGATCCTCTTGTGTTTAAAGGTCCTCGGTGGCAGTTGTTTGTTGTTATGCAGTTACTAAGACAAAAGTGAAGAAAATTTCTGAAGGACCCACCCAATGGTCTACTCCATTCAAAACCCCGAGGTGACTATTTCCTATCAAAGAAAGCAGCCTCTGCTCTATTCCTTTCCCTAGTTACTCTGGAGTAAGAAACCCTGGCTGAACTCGACAAGTTTTCTCATGCTACCAACCAGAACTAGTCTCTGCTTTTCTCAGGTAAAGACAGAGAGGAAAAAGATGGCTTAAGGTCAGAATTTAGAGTGAAAACAGAGGATGCTAAAGGAAAGGTCATTGCAATCTTAAGGCTTATTTTGACACTATTGACAGTGTCAAAAGCTGAACCAGTGTTCCCTCTTGTTAATTTCTCCAAAGTCTCAGAATGGGGAAAAAGTTACAACTAAGAGGCAACCTCCAAGGCAGTGTTCTCGAAGTGTCTACAAGTCTGCTGTCAGCTGTCAGCAACCGGAGCCCACAAGAGACTTTTTTTTTTCAAATCAATTTATTGGGGCTCATAAAATTCATCACAATACATAGATCAATTGTGTAGAGCACATCTATACATTTGTTGCCCTCATCCCCAAAATTCGCTTGCCTCTTGGGTTCCCGGAATCAGCTCATTCCCCCTCCCCCCCCCACGCCCCCTCCCACAAGAGACTCTTCATGCACAGAGCTGAGCAGATTTTGTTAGAAATCCTAACAAGGGATCGTGCTACAGCAACAAGAGACCTGATCATGGTGCCAAAGCTTTAAGATAAGGGACCAGGCTCTTCGGCTTTATTACACACACCCCTTATACAGATGTTCTGAAATAAAAATTCTTATTATAAGGCCTACAGTCCAAAGATTAAATAGTAGGTCTCAGATACATGTGAAACCTCAAACACAAACAAGCAGACAGGTATGGGAAGCCAACCCTTCTCTGAGGAGGCTTGGTGAGGGAAACGGATGTTATTAACAGCCAAGAAGAAACTACCACCCAAAGTGCAGTTGCTTCCTTCTGCAATAGACAGCTAGCTAACACAGGGCCTGATTAGAAAGTAGACGCCTTTAATCCTACTGCTATGTTCCCCATGACTCAACCTCTCCAGTATCCATGGTCATGCTTTGAATCTCTGCTTCCTCTTAATTCTAAGGAGTAGCCAGCTCACCTCTCTTTCTGAATTTTCGACTCAGGGTTCACAGACTGTCAGCTGAACCAGGCAGTATCACATAATTTTACATGTCAGGCCACTCTTCCAACCAGCTGAAGCAAAGCTTCAGAAGGTAAATCGGCTTCTTCATGGTGGATAAAGGATCTCTATGAGGATCTGAGAGGGGACTATGTGGGTAGACCCCCCTCCCTCCTTTTCTTTGTCTTTTTTGTAATATTCTCCCTTGGAACTCCCCTTAGAGGGTTTGGTCTGGCTCTAACAACTCAAAGCAGAACCTAATAAAACACATTACTCCGTTTTCTAGGGTTTTTATTTATTTTTTATTAACAGTCAAAAATAAAAAATAAAACCAAGAAAACACAACACCTTAAAGTTGGAACAGCAATACTGCTGCTGGAGTTCATGGATGTACCGGGGTACACGGCTCCCTCGTTGAGAGGCAGAACCTAGGCACATGGCTGTAGATTTAAGTATATACATGACCATGAAGAATCAGAGCAATGGAAACCATTGGAGAACAGAAAGCATCCAGAGCTTTTCATCAGGCAATCCCAAAGCGCTCTGCTCTTTTCCTCTTCTTTGCCTATAAGGAAGAAGAACAACACCAAAAATATATTAGATGGCAAGACAACAGTGGCCTGGGTTCCTGGCTGCTTTAATCCACATTCACATGGACTGTCACAAGGTTCAAGAGGGAGGGAAGGTTCAAGCTAAATCTTGGCAGCTGGACAGTTCATTCTTGAATCTCTCTAGTTGTCCAGTTAGACCTTCAAGGTTTAGTTAAAAAAGGAGGGTGAAAAGGAAAATAATTATGGGAGGTAGTGGTAGAAAAAATGGGAAGATTCCTGAAGAAGAGAAAGCCCCTCATCCTCACAGCCCTGGAAACAATGGGCTCTTTAACAGGTCAGTGGGGAGATGGGAGGTTTCAGAGGACAAAGGGTTAACCCACTCTATTCATGGAGAAGGTGGGGAGAATGCCCTTCTGGGAAGTCAGACCCGGGCAGCAGCCATTCCTTAGGCCTTCAAACTCACAGAAAGGCATATAAATCTTCAACGTCAGCAGAATAAATAGGGGGTAGGGGTGGGTGAGTCCCTGTCAAGGATCTCTTAGGGGAAAGAGCTTTGGTGAGAAGGCACAGAATCAGGGAAGTGGTGGGGAGAAGAGAAAGATCTTTGTGTTCTGGGAGTGACTCACAAACAGCACTGCACCCTTCACCCTCATTCCAGCCACTGCTCCCAGAAAAGAGGGGGCATTTTCTTCATCCCATTCACACAAGAGGTTTGATTTAGATTAAAAAGAAAGTTGAGTGCACACAAGCCCAGCCCAGCCCAGCCCACCTGGTTATTAACATAATAGAGCAGGAATCAAACAAAAGTGATTTGGTTCATATAATCGCTACTGGCTGCAGAAGTTCCTCCCTAACACACAGCAGCTCTTTTATAATAAAAACCACTGTTCCTTGCCACCTCACAAAATCCTCTTTTCTTTTGGAGGTCAAATTTACCTATTTAGAAAACATGCCTGGTTTAATAACTGTTACCTTGGCAAAAAACTCCAAGATAAATCTCACTGCCAACTAGTCGATTCATACTCATTGCAATCCTATTCATAATCAATCTCTAGTCGTAGCTGAGTACCCATGGGTTTTGGTCGTAAATCTTTATAGGAGCAGAAAGTCTTAACTCTCTCCCCTGGAGCTGCTAGTGATTATAAAATAGCTGACCTTGTGTTTACCTGCATTCCAATGCTTAACCCACTATGCCACCAGGGCTCCTTACCTTAGCAAAAAGGTGGGTACTTTTAATGAAACCATTTACCACAAACCAAGTTTACTCATATTAGTACAAGGGTAAGTCAAAAAGAATTGCTTTGTTAAAGAACAATATCCAACTGTGAAGCTATTGCTTCTCAGCATGCTCTTCATCTAGGTCTACACATCTCTGAAGGCAGGGTTTTCATCTCCCTAAGTCATAGGTTCCCAAATAGATTGGGCTTATCACCCTCCTACCCCCCACCCCAAAAAACTCAGTACATATTCCCTGGCAATTACACATTTTTATACTACAGTCCATAATCCAGGATGAAGTGTAGCTATCTGCTGGTGCTGTCCCTCTGGACCATTCCAGCACACCCCACAGGTAGCATTGCCCACTTTGGGAAACACTGCTTTCCCTTCCCTGAAGAATTCTGTCAATTTACACAAGGTAGTTTTGGAATCCTCAAGGGATTCCAATTGTGTTCTTGAGAGGCTCTTTGTGTGTGTGTGTGTTGGGGGTGGAGGGGTGGGGGGGAGAAGGTTGCAGGAGCGGGTCTAGGCTAGAAGGTGGATGAGTCAGGAAATCCCCACAAGGGCCCCTGCTACTCTCAAAGCATGAGAGGGGAGCTGTTGTGAGGGACAAGCATGCTTTAGCGCAACTTTTCTGGCATTTTTCTTGCCTGCGCAGTTTGCAACTTTCTGAAAACTTCGCCATAGTAAGCTTCTGTGATCATTCTGTGTACTGAGAAAAAATTATCAAGATCACCTCTTTGGAAAACCAAGAAAGAACTGCCCTAACCTTCAGACCCGACCTCTCTGCCTTGAATTCACCTTCAAGGCCCTCCCAGTCTTCCTTAAAACACGCGATCCATCTGAAAACTGGTAGCTTTCCTTGGAGCAACATTCTCGTAAACTTGTAAAGCTTTTTCAATGATTTCAGAAGATATCCAGCTGCATTTTGTCAAAATTTTTATATAAACCCTAACCTCAAATTGTTTTTTTCCCTCAAGAATGAGGAAAAAGAGCATCCCTTTCTTTTTAAGGTGCCCCGATGCGACTAAGACAAGTTATTACTGGGAGATCTTAGCTACAGCCATCCAGAACAGGTCTAAACATGTTCTGCTTAGAATAAACTTGTGATAGGTGAATTGAAACCCTAGTACGAGTACTCTGTTACTTACCTTCCTATGTAAGTAAGAAAATACTTCACCACTGTGCCACCAGAGTGCATTAGATACTTGTAATGCTTTATTCTGGATTAGAATAAAAAGTAAAAGCTCTCTTTTCCTCAATGAAAGCGTAAACTGATTGGACACAAGATAAAGTTATTGTGGCCACCTTTGGAGCTAAGTAGCTATGTAAACTTAGATTAAATAAATGCAAGAAGAGAACATTCCAATTTTTTTTTAACCACCCAAGCAACACTGTCTAATTTTAAACAATTTATTATTTCAATATTATCTCTATTGCTCTATATGTACAGCCCAGGTAACAATTGGCTTCATTAGATATTCTCAAATCAGCAAACCAGCATTATCTGTTTTGTCAATGCTCAAAGTCTCAGAGAATGTGCAAAGTTGGGATTATGAATGAACAACACAAGTCTTATAAAAAAAAACATTCTTCTATTTTGAGAAACTAATTGTTAAAAAAAGTCGTAAGAATGAGAAATCTCATTGGAGTCTATTGGCCATAATTTCAGAAATAAAATTATTCTTATGCCTGGGTTAGGACTGGTCTTCATTAAATGACCAAAGGAAATATGACTGGCAGATAGATAATAATAATAAACACTGTTATTTAGTGAATACTTACAATATTGTGAGGGACTGTGCTGACCGTTTTATATAAATTCATCTCTTTTCTCATAAAATCACTTCATTTAATTTTTATACTACCACTTGGTGGTAAATATGTTACCTTTACACCACAGATGACAAAACTGAGGTTCAGGAAAGTATTCTACCTTATCAGTATTTATTATAATACTAAGTGGGGAGGGCTACTTTTCAAACTAAAGCCCCCTTGATTGTAAAGCCTGTACTCTTTCCTACTAGGGTAACTGGCTTTAACACTGACTTAAATATATCAGGGGTCTTCATCGTGGCCATTCCACGCAGAAAATGTTAGCAAGCAAAAGGAAAAATATCAAGTCACCTGGGTACTTAACAAGTAGTAGGTTGGGAAAATAGAAAGTTTCTCCATTCAGTTTATTCCCCCTCATTTCATGGGCTCGACTGAAACACTCTGGGTGCAAATGTTTACCTCTGTATCCTCTGTGGTTCCAGTCCCAGCTGAACTTGTGACAATCCCAAACCGCTCCTTCCGCTTTTTCAGTTTCTCATCATCTTCAGACTACTCAAGGAAGAAGAAAAGGGTTAAAACAAACTAGCCCCGCTCACAAAGTAAACAGAATAAAATTATAACACGTGACCATCATATGATGACCAACCTTGTGTCAAGAACTATCGCTCAAAGAGAAACAAAAAGCTGAGTAGGCATCATGCAGCATCCTGTCCCTCAAACTCACTGCCGCTGAGTCAATGCCGACTCACGGTGACCCTGTAGGACTGAGAAGAGCTGCTCCGGTGGGACCCAGAGACTGTAACCCTTCATGAGCGCAGACGTCTTCTCTTCCTCCTGAAGAGCAGCGGGTGGTTTACAACTGCTGGCTGTGGGTTAGCAGCCACACCTGTAACCATTATGCCTCCAGGGCTCCTAAACACTGAAGTAGGGTCTCAATACTCACAGGACAAGTAGAGTCAAGAAGCAAAAGGTCACCCATAATATGAATCTCCATGCTCAAGAAACTTTGGCGGTTCAGATATGGAAAACTGAGCCTCCTAAATGGGGAGGGGGTTTCCGCTTACTATGGGTTGACCGGAGTTTGCTATTCTCTTATCGTTTTAAAAAATGAGCTATTGTTCACTTCCCTCAACGCCCAACAGAAGAGTTTCTATTCCTTTGAGGACCTTAACTTGGTCACTTTATTTATCTAATTATAATATATTTTTCCCCCTTTCTAATCTTCCTCTCAAATCTACTGCCGGTAACCAAAAAGTCAACACCTGGATTAGTAAACTTCTAAATTCAAGCAAGCTCCCTGGGTTTGTGATTTTCCCCAAAAAGGATTTTTCACAAACTTGTCATAACTAGATAAAGATCCTTCCTCTTAAACAGCTCCAAAGACCCTCTACTCCACACATACACCCATCTTCACCACAGGGCAGGACCATTTCTTTGGTATTATATACAAAAGGCAACCAAAATAGGGCCACTCAAAAGACTTCAAGCAACCTTAGGAGCCAGATCTTTTTTTAACTCCCCCAGGAGTTCATATTCTTGCAGTCGGTGTTTCTAGGTTACCCCCTCCCCCCAAACAGAATCAAAAGCAAAGGCAATCAAGAGGCATACAGAAACACAGGAACTTTTCAATACCTCTACTCTCAACCCTCACCAAAAAGGTGCCTTTGTCTTTGGCCATGGAAGCCACCTTGATGATCAACAGCAAGGTAGCTAACCATCCAGCCTTTGGTGCTCAATTTGTTGCCCTAGCCCAGCTCTCTGCGCACAGAGGCAGGGGCACTGTCTGGGTCTTAGTGCCAGTCTTTCAACTTCAGAGGCGCCTCCAGTTTCTCTTTGACTGAACCTGCTTTCTAGTGAGAAGCATGAGCGCTAGGGCGCCCTGATGGCACAGCAGCTAAACACTCAGCTGCTAGGCCAAAGCCAGGTGGTGTGACCCGATCCAGTGGCGCTGTCAGAGAAAAGACCTAGTGATCAACGTAGGGCACCTACTGGGCAGTTCTAACACGTCACCTGACAGCAAGAAGAGAGCTTAAGAAAGGGCAGTAGCTCTGCTCTGGAAGAGTGTAAAGTATTACACACGAGTATATTCGCTACAACAGAGTATTCGTCTTCATAGTTTTTATGCCTTTTTAATTACAACCGCCAGCAAATCCAGTGGGTACACAATGAATGAAATCTACACTATTGGACAACACCTAATCAGGTTCTAAGAATTTTAAAAGGTATTCTTGTCTTAATAGTCATAAATTAGTTACAACAATGACATTAGAGCCACTAACACATGTAAGTAGTATGTAAGTACTAAGTAACATGTAAGTAATACAGAACTAAGTTCTTTACGTGTAAGATCTTGCTTCTTTTAACAATCCTATGAAATAGATACTATAAGTAAATTCATTTCACAGACAGAAAACAGAGGCTTAAAGAGAAGACAGTAAATAATTTGTCCAATGTCACACAAGTACTAACTTACAAAGCAGGGTGAGAATTCAGGCCATTTTATTCTAGATTCCATTTTCTTACATTCACCATCTCAAGTGCATCACAGATACATTTCTTTGGGAAAGGGAGGAAGGATCACTAGGACCCTTGGCCAAAAATAATTGTGTACTCCTTCAACCACTTGCACATCACTCAGATAACTTCAGTCAATATTAGAATATGGTACCCTTTCTAGCCTATCATATGCCTTTCTTTTATAATTATGTAGAGGGAGCTAGAGAAAGGACGTACTAATCTTATACTAAGGCTTTTCTCACCTGTTTCTAACTTTGCTTAATCAGCCATTTGAACTGTAGTAAGTATAACTAGGATTTCAAACAAAATACAACAGAACATTTCATCGAATTTTTCTTTACCAAAGTCACATGGGAAATGAGCACTTTCCTGATTTTTTTCAACCATCAGAAAGATAAAAGTGTATAAAGGATAAAAACGTAGATCTCAAAATGAGAATCCTTAGAATATTCTAGATGAAATGCTTCCATTTTTTGGCCAACAGGCAGACACTCTGGGGGTGTGAGGAGAAAGTGTCTTACATCTCTTGGTGAGGAGAAGCAGAACTAGGTCATGTGCTAGTATTTAAGTAAATTCAAGTCACAGAGAGGGAGATATGCATGCTACTTTTGATTCCTTGCATTCGCTCAGGAAATTTCGAGGCCACGCCTCCTTTCAAAGACCTCATCTCAAAGCGGACCTCTTTTTGGAAGGTGCAGGGTCACTTTTCCTGTGAGTTAAAATGGAGACGTCTAAAGCAACTTCCTGTATTTTCTAGTGTGCTTAAAGGTGAGCAAGGGAGAGTCGGGGTGGGGTTGGGGGGTGAGATGTACTTCTCTAGCCACAGATTGGAATTACTTATCAGAGAACCCCCCCCATGAGTTTCCCTTTTTAATCAGATCTTTGGTGTCTCTCTGAGAGATCTAGGCAGAGCATCTGCTCCAACTCACTAGGGGCTCCGAGGAAAAAACAATACAGCTCCCCCACCCTAACAAATAGCCAGCCCACCCCTCACCCGCAGAGACCAGTGAGGGTTTTATTTATTTTGTGCATGCCTGCCCTTCCCTCCCCACCCAGCGCCCCTGGGTTCCCCTCCTTCAGCCCCTTTCCTCCTTGCCCTGCAGGGAAAGTGCACAACAGGCCCAGTAAATCAACACAGTTCTAATGATCTCTCTCACTTGACCCTTCTAGCGTGACGGTGTCGCATGGAAACAAATGTACAATAAACTTCACTCCATCTTTAGCTCCTTGCTGACAGGTTTTGATTCATGGGATGGAGAGACCCATCTGAGGGAAATTACCTCGATCAAAACGCATCTCTCTTTGCATTCATCAGGCCCAATGTTCCCCGGGGCCATGCTCAAGTGCACAAATGGGGTTGTGCATCTGCAGGCAGCACTGACCTCTCCAGCTTAGTGTCATATGCATTTGTAAACCATTCCCTTCTTCAGCCCTCCCCCAGGCCCCTCCTGCAAGCCCTCAACCACTAGCAAATCTCTTTCTTTACATGTCAGCTTCAGTGTGGGAAGACAAGTGCTTTATCCGAAACACTCTTATTTCCTATCAAATACAAACCCCTCACAAAACATACATGCATTCAAAATCTGAGGAGGGACCCGGCTTCACTAACACAACGCAGACACTGGACATTCACTGGCTGGTCCATACACTTCACTTCCCCCATGCTCTCACTTTTCAAGATTTAAACAGTAAGCCAAGTTGATGGATACCAACAATTTCAGCATTCATAACCCTGACATCACCCAGTAACTGCCTTGTCTGTCTTTCCTAAATCTCATTGCTACAAATGAGAATGAGAATTGTGTAAGGAGAGGATGGCCCTATAAGCAGCAGGGGACATTACCTACACTTTATAAAGCTGAATAACCCACATGAATCACCATCACTTACTCCCCTCCCCCAAATGGCTCCAAAATGAGCCCTTCAGAAAACAAACTTCTCAAAATTAACTTCTCTCTGTATCTTTTTCTTATTTGGAAAACTTTAAAAAAATGTACTGACTGGCATAAATGCTATTTATTCTTCTTCTAGATAAGCAGCAAAAGTTCCCCCAAATGGATAAGAATCAAACCTAAGGCAACAAAGAAAGTATTTCAAGGCAAACAATTTGGACAGATGACTTAGCAGTAAAGTGTAGGGTATGAACAGTAAGCACTCCGTGGGAAAAAACCAGTCTTCTCCCCTAGGTACTACCTTCTCTCTCAAGGACCCTTCAACATCATTAAGTCAGTTCTGACTCAGAGCGACCCTATGCACAACCCAAGACACACGGCCTGGTCCTGCACCATTTCACGATGGCTATGTGGAAGCCCATTCTGGTGGCCACGCTATCAATCCATTTCATCGAGGGTCTTTCCTTCCCCTCTTTTATGCTGATCATCCACTCTGCCCAGAATGACGTCTTTTCCTAGGAACTCCACAAAGCGGTGCCCTCCTTGCTTCTCAGGAGCATCTGGCTTTGCTTCTTCCAAGGCGGATTTGCGTGTTCTTCAGGCGGCCCACGGCACTTTCAATATTCTCTGCCAGCATGGTAATTCAAATGCATAAGTTCTTCTTGGTCTTCCTTAATAATGACTGTTAAATCTAGTGTCTACATAAGGAACTACCTGAGGGGACTGGGAAAGGGCCCAACTTCTACTGCTACACACCTAATTCTAGTTAGATCCATTCTAAAAGCCCTTGAAGAACTGTTTTCACAGATATACGTTCATATCAATATTTCAAATAATACTGAAACTACAAACTTAATTAATTCAGTCATTCAAATATTGACTGAGTGTCTACTTCAAGTAGACACTTTTCAGTGTAGAGGAAATACAGAAATGTGTAAGACAGCGATCCTTAACCTCCTAGGCTTACAAATTTACCACCGAGTTACTGTAAAGGTGTATGTCATTGGTCACAATATATTATACTGCACTGAAGACCCATGGGGAATTTTTCTTTCTGGTCAGAGGGACACAAAATTTGCATTTCTCCAGCAACTTGGTTTTTTATCATGAATCACTGTGAACAGTACAACGATGTATTCT